AATTTGAGATCCAGTTGATCCATTCGTTGACCTCGATACTCGTATCCCAGTTGAAGTTCGGTAAAAGATTTCAATTATAAATTCCATGTGTACGAGGAATGGTCGAAAAGTTTTGTGAGTAATTTACATTTACTGTACAGTACTTCTTAATGCAGTTAAGTGTGTGTCTAAGTTCCCTCTAAACAAACCTCTGTGCAATCAGTAGCATGACTTATAGCTAGCATTTGCTGATTAGTTCTTTTTCAGTGAAAAACGGTTTTCAGATCTGGGAAATTGTGAATTGAAATTTTCAATGAAATTAAATGTTTGCTCATTCCCGACGTGCCTAACATTTCACAGAGCACAAAAATGCGGCATATGAACTCACAGTAATTTCTTCCTAGTTATTCGGTAGGCTTTCAGCTTATTTCGTATGTCGTTATTAACTACAGTATTTGTATTGGATTTGGAAATTGAAGCCGTGGTCAAAAATGATCACGTATTTTAATGTGGTGATTAGGTGCATCCATCCAAAAAGACTGAACAAGAGCAAAAAAAAAACCTTCAAAACTTATGAAACAAACTTCGGATTTTATGTTTGTTCAAAGATAGATCCGACGCGTTTCAATCTTCGAGCATCAGAGATTTTCAGATGGAAGGAATTCGGAAGAAAGCAGGTCATATTTGTCAGGAAATCTTGTTTCTCCGGGGATATTGAAGGAATTACTCGGGATAAAAGGGTTTTTAGAAGCCCCACCAAAGCAGCCGTAGAAAAGTACCATCCGACGAGTCGTGTGTTGGAGTCCTTCGAAGTCACCGTCGCCCTCTGCTCCGACTTGAATGTGATTCACGCTTGTGCGGAAAGTTTTCGGCAATTATCCCGCTCTGGTCTCTTCGTAGCAGCCCTTTTATTCTCATCTCCGTATCCCTCGAGTCTGTGGAATGAATGAATGGATGCGAATGCTGGCTTTTTTAGCTCCCACAGAAGCTCTTGGAGCTCAGCAGCGGCTTCAACGTCAAGCACCGGAGTGGTCGCAGACTTTCCTTGCCAGTAACGCCGCGCGGAGTCGTTCCCGGAGGCACGGATTCCCGCCGTTCCTCCATAACGTCTGTGTGCTCCTCTTGTAAGAAAACTTTTCCTGCACCTCTGTCTCGTAAAACGTTGCCCGGCTACACTTAGGCAGCCGTCTTCTTTTTTTTCTCTCTCTCTAGGAAGCTAATAGACTAGAGAATGGAGAAACGGGCTTGTGTATTCTTCCGAAAATTTACGTCCGACAGTCCTGGGGCGCTTTGCTTTCGACGTTTGTTCCACTCCGCGGCTTGCGATTCCAAGAAAAATTGTTGAGCCCCGAGCGATGCGGTATTTACTTGGAAAAGTAAAGAAATTCAGCCCCAGCGCTCAATGCTCGCCTAGTCCATGTGCACGAAACGAGTGAACAGTCAAATTTAGCCTCTATCATTCATAATTTGGTTTATGCTTTGAGTAAGCGTGTTCTGATAATATCCCGGAATATCCTGTGTTTTACTGTATTTACGGAACAAAACCATACTGTATTTGACGCTATTACGCTTGTTCCCGACGAGATAGACAGGGGCATCCGTGAAGCCTAAAGCCCCTATAGCTTTGCTTCGTTTCATTCCTCGTTAATTTTCTGAAATTCCTTAAATTGTCTGTCATAACGTTCATCTCTGTCTCGCCAGAATATCCGCATATTGGTCAGATACTCTCCTAACAACTGATGAGTGCTTTCATTTTCTAAATGCGAAGGAAACTTCCGCGTTTCACTTCCAATTAAAGGAGATGCCTTATTAAGAAGTACCCCGTGCCTTCATCAAGCTGATGTTACGATTATTTTCTTGTTCTTTTAAAATGGCCTGCTTGAAATATTCAGTGTTCTCAAAACTTTTTCACCCGATCGAGTCAGCATCTTACTAATGGATTTCAAGACTACTGCATTGCGATCATCATGCGACTTAGATTCTACATGATCAGAGATTCAACGTAGTGACTCTATGATGCGAACGTAGTACGATATTGCACATAGAATTTAGCCGAAGCTAGTACATGCGAAGACCTTCGATTGTCTGTGATGTTTGATTTTCCGGAAGAAGGCATCCAGCCATTTTGATGCACGATGAAAATACCTGTGCAATATTTTATTATAAGAAGTTCTGTAGGTAAATGAGTTTTTTGTTGCGCGGATATCGGTGGTTTATAATTTTTAAATATTAAAACTAAGGTACAGTATTGATATTTATGTTCAATATTTTTTCTTTGTAAATGCTCCTCGAAGGATCTCACTTTCCAGGTTTTTTTTTTTACGGGAGAAATATGTGAGACGTTCGAAAATTTTCCTAGGGATATTCGTGTGGATGTCCAGCTGCGCTGCTTTGTCTCCCGTCTAGACATTACAGTATCTTCTCCGCGATGGCATCCTACTCCCTCATCTCTTTTGTGTTAATCTTTTGTCAGCATGTTGCCAGCTGCCGCTGTTGACTTTCAGATGCGCCCTGCTCCGGTTCATATTCGATACAGAAAAATTTCCCTCCCACCCGTGGCCATAGCTAGACTGCATGTGCGACGCAATCGAGTTTCTGCCTGCTTGCGATAAGAAATTTCCGATCTAAGGAGCTTTCTTCCGGGCGTGAGCGAGCAAAGTTTGCAGGAAAACGGTTGAACTGGCTGTCAAAATGTGCGCAATGCTGGAAATCCTTGTTTTCTACACTTGATCACATGCGTCAAGATGGCATTTGTGTTGAAGCGCCTGGAGGAATGCGGACTGCATATTTATTTTTAAACTTTCGGTTGGATCTATTGAATCCTCCGCTGCAGACGTTTGCCTATCGTCGCTAAAGACGAGAGCTCTTCATGCCCGTGTATGGCGGATGTTTTCTTTCGTAACTGGAGCCATTCGTCCCCAGTTTTCTCCTGAGTTTCCACCCGGGGGTATTGATCGGGGACGCGCCGCCATTATTCTCGGGGGTGTGGGCTGTATGATGAAATCTTGGAGCTGCTCGATTATCGGGAGGGTGCTGACTAATTTTGCTCTCATTTTGGAACTTTCCGGTAGAATGAATAAGTACTACGGAGAATGAACTCCTGGCGATTCTATTTTATGGTCGTGTGGGAATTATTTGGTGCGCGCGTGTTCGAGTCGCTCTCAGGAGGTCGATTAAATTCTGCGGTCTAGTGAAGTAAAGGTCAAATTGCTAAGGTAAATCCGAGACTTTTCGAAGTACTGTACTGTACTATGCGAAGTGCGATGCAATTTTGAAATTGTTTCAAAATTGATACGGTTTACTGTGTTATTTTTCCCTATCAAGTCCGATGTAGAAAATCAGATGATTTTTGTATATCTTCAATTTGGTTTTGAGAAAAAAAAAGGACCGACGCTTCTTCGAACTCATGGCGCAATAACATTTTTTTCCATCTCACTGCTTGGTCATGTGTTCAAATTAGGCGGCTTTTATTTCACAAGCATGAAATGGCAGAGAGTTTAGTCACGGTCATGGCGATCGATGCATCGCATGGGCTTATTTTCAGAAAATGCTGTGTTTCCCCGTAGGTAGAGTGGGTTCTGTGGTGAAAGAGACCATTCGTTGCAAATGCCGAAGACATTGTGTTACGTAATTAATTCCCGATCCTTCATTTTTGTGAGAACTTTTCCCCGAAGTCGGAAATATGAAAGTTTATTCCATCGCACATTTTAACCTTTTCATTGCAAAAGTTGTTCGGAGTAGAGCCTCGGAAGTGTTTTCTTTCGTGAAGATGGAAACGATTTTGCGACCGTTCAAGTTGACACCCGTTTTATTTTACTTTATCTGCAACATGTTGCAATGTTTAACTAAAATAAGATAAAGAATTTTCCGTATTAAAATGCTTCAAGTAAAGTCGACCAACATATTTCCGGCTGATAATGGTAAAGTGTTTTTGGGGTTTCAAATGAGCTGCATTCCATACGAGTTACCCAATGAGGTATGAGTTAAAACCTCACTTCCCACGGAGTTCAGGGCTGCTCTACGCTTCCTCGTGAACAAAAGAAAGGATATTTGAATTAAAGTGAATATCAAGAAATCGGTTCCACGAAGAATAAACAGGGAATTTTTTAGCGAGAGAAAGACCATCAAGAAATTTCAATTTTGTAAAGAAATATAATTTTCAACCCTCCAGTCACTGTCGGTATGAGAGGTTCCTCAGTGAAAATTGATTTTACAAAGAGAACCGCGATAGGATAATGAAGGGCTCCTTGAGTTGAAAAGATGAAGGAGCTCTTACTTTTGAATGAATAATGCGAACTTCGATGAAAGCCATGCGAGATATCTTGTGAAATGTTGTAGCTGTGATCTCGCTCCGCCAGGCGCGATTTCTTGCAATCCTCCGAGATTTCATGGCGACGTTTTCACCACCGCGGAAATACGTAGGAGGTTGTAAAGGATCCGCATGTTGCGAGGCCAAACAAAAGTCGATTCTCTTGGCATTCATTGATGTTGTTGAACCCCGAGCGTGGCGAATCGCTCGCCCTCCCCGGATCGAAGTCAGCCAGATTCATGCGTCCGGAACCTTGAGGAAGGTATTGCGGCTAATTTCCGAGTGTGCTGCCCGAACAATTCGTTGACCAACTCATTCCTTGAGGGAGCCGTGGTTACGTAGATCATTGTCAGTCTGGAATTATTGTGCAGTACTGTACTGTATCATATTCACGCGATTATAGACCACACCCCACCGTATGGTGGAGATTTGAGCAAACATGTGCTCAACCCGAAAAAAAGGGAAATTGAGGGGGAAAATCCTCAAGTCCATGCACGGACGAAATCTGCCAATTTTCTTGAAAGCCTGTGCTAAGTAAAGAATACGATGCCATATTCCACCCCATTCTTCTCGCTGCCCATTGTATTTTAAATTGACGTGAGTGAAACTTTTTGATACCATTCCCGTACTCCTACGTATCCATCGAAGAGTATCGATTTTCGTGGCTCCCTACCTACGAATCGTTTCAATGGCGGGGCCCTTTTTAATCTCAATGTCGATGGGATCAGAAATTGAGGAGTGTTGTCCCTATGCCACTTCTATTCAACTGCCGAAAAGTTCAGCCGCCGAACCCCAGGTGTACGCAAAATAATCTGGGTTCTGCGAAGTGCTGCGTTGAAAGCTGATATATTGATCTTACTCTTTGCAATTCGCTAGTTCCAGCATATACAGTATGTTTTAAGTATAGGCCGCACTAAATTTGAATGAGGATAGGCCAGATCTTCGCTTTTTTTTCAGGGTATTGTAGGGGATGGGGGTGCTTGTGATTGCATGAATACATATGGTTCAGTTCTGAGTCACGGATCCGAAGTCAACTCTTTCATTTCAAATTGTTCACTTCCCTTTCTTCTCGGCCTTGAAGCTCATGGCACGGAAACGTCACGAGATTTCACGCTTGAGGGACCATGTACCAGGCGTGCTGCCTGACGAACACACGAAGAGAGATTCTCTTCTCTGAGAGTCTTTAACATTCTTTTCTGTTTATTTATCCTGGCAGCATCTTACAGCGACAGCGAGGATGACGAACGTGTATCGCCAAGGGAGAAGGTGCAAAAGACTGCCAAGGGGTACTCTGACTTCTGCGTCCGATCCATCAATCAAGCTCCATTTGGTCGGCGTGAAATCGAGATCGCTGAACAAGGTGAGCTTTTCTTCTATGCCTTTATCGAGAGGAATGTCGCACATCTATTAAAATCGAAAACTTCTTGCACTGTATATTTTACATATAAAAAAAATTTGGTTCGTCCTGATCTTGATTTAATTTCCCCTCCACACTCGAATTATTAACGAACTAGCAAGAAGCATGAAGATTAGCTATGATTTCGCTCCAGTCTCGTGAAAAGTATGACTTCGATGTAACTTCTTATCATCTAAACACATGTTAATGTAATTGGATGTGTCGTTCGGCTTCAGAAGCTGATCCAACGAAGCGAGGAAGCCTGAAGACTTTTTTGGCACCGCTCAGCAAAATGTTGTGCAGTTGTGGTTCTTCGAATTTTGGTTCCTGTGTCAAACGCTGTCCGCGGAATAAGCAGGTTTCCCCATGCAAGAGACACTCAGAATCAATCGATCAGTCGAACTCGATATGTTCGAAACCAATACCAGAGGAAGCATTCCATTTTCGCATGTTGACATTCTCAGTTCATTGATCCAGATTTTTTGGCATGTTTTGCTTCTATACTGTGAAGTGAACAGTTCGAGTTCGAGCAGAAACACCGTACAATACCGAGATTTACGCCGCGTAAATGTGCGCTTGGATGCTTGATCTTTTGAAGACCCTCATTTAGTCGAAATGGGCGTTCTATGAACCTTAATGCACGAAGCATAGCTCACAGGGATTCCAAAAAATTTCAAAGATTTTTTTCCGTTGATGCTGCCGGTATAAATTTCAGAAGTGTTGACAGCGATTATCAAAGTTTCTCTATAGGCGTAGAGAGTACACACTTCCCTCTGGCATTCGTCGGTTTCCAGAGGGCTTTTCCAAGTTGAATGTAATATTCAGCTATGGGCTTGTCTTGAAACTTGCACTTCGCAAGTGGTCGTAACGCCTTGCAAGACTCCAGTACGTGCGGGAATCCATTGTTTCTAAGTTATCGATTTATCACTAAGCCGGATGTTGCCGTCGGGTAGTTCTCAGAGTGCAACCTGTGCCTATACAGTACAGTATTCCTGGCCTTGAATGAGGTTTGAAAAAAAGAGTCCGCTCTCCTGAAAGTCGCGAGCGTGTTCGTTGCCCCGAAAGTAAACCGACGGCATGAAGTATTTCATTAAAATGACGGGCTGAAGAACAGTTTTTTTTTTTTTTTTGGGAAGAGCTTTCGTCCTATCTACCCCGAGAGGAATTGCTTGCTTCTTGTTAGTTTCAGCTGTTGTGCTGCGTACCGTACACGGTGTGCTTCCCTGTGAGATTGGAAAAGTTGCTGTTGCCTGGTTTTCAGTCCTTTTATGCTTTGCGCCTGTTATGCATTCATTTACATTACGGCAGCAATTTCAAGTACTAAGGGAGCTCGTAGCTGAGCACTTTTTCATCATCTCCCAACGAATTATTCTTTGTGTTGGTTTCTGTTTATTTGCGCCGGAATAATTGTTTCCGCCAGCCAATGTCTTCTTCGTGATCCTTGAATATGCAGCATTTTATGCGGGGGAAAGAAGGGGATCAATCTCCTGATAGCTTTTACAGATGAAATCATCTTCGGGAAACGATTCTCCGATTGCAATGCTGTCGACGCATATTTCCTTATCTATCTGCGTTAATATATGTCTTGGTATGAGCACTGCTCAGATTTTAGGCAATAATTTCGAGGGGAAAAATAATATACCTGTACAGTACACATGTTGATTCAGTATATACTGTGCATAAATATATGATGTACAGTACAATAATGTAATATTCACTTCATATAGCCGACAAAATCTTGAAAATTTCAGGAATTTGGAAAATACAAGTGTGATTACCGGATTGCGCTGGCATTCTGCTTCCTGGGGAAAAATTAAAAATTGGACGACCTATGGAAAATGTTCTTTCACTTAGCTCTTAAATTGTTTTTTCTTTATCACATCACAGCGAAACGAAAAGCAACCACGAACAGCAAGAACAAATATGTTGAGTTATTATATTTCGATCCATTTTATGTTCGCTGGGTTTTGCACATGCTATTTAAGAGCATTTCCTTTCTTGTGTACAGAACATCATTTTGTGTTTATTTCTGTCCTGTACGCATACTGCGATTCGCACTCGCTGTTTCTGACTTGTTCGCTATGATTTTAATTTTGAGCCGTAATCTTTTGTTCCTCGGTGGTTCGTTTTCCCTCAAAATTATGTTCAAGCGTCGAATTCAGTAGTTTTTAGCGTATCATAGGACGGAAAAATGATTTTTATAAATCGAACTGTGTGTGTTGTTAAGTGATGCATTACCATAAATAATGGAAAATTTAATAAAATCTTCATATTGAACGAAAATTCAGCCTCAATCAGAGATTTGTCTCCAGTTCCTTTTGTCAGGCCACATCCGTGGACTGACGAGTTCTGCGTTTCTGAATTTCGGAGGGCGTGCATCCCGAACCTCTTTCTGCGGAACTGGGGTTTCGGATGGGGTATTCTGCACTGAAGAGTTTGCTCTTATTGATTTAGCTGCGCTTGGACTTCATGTACAGTATATATTTAAAATAATCCTCGCGGGAGCATCTCATGAAATCGAAGGGATTTTATTCCCCGCGATCGTCGCGCCTTCTCACCGATTCCAAGAGACTCAGACTGTTCATTCTTAGACCCTGAAGAACCTTTGACGAGCGTTTCTGTGAGAAATCTAAAACTTCTGTACGTAAAGAGGAAGTTTTCAAGAAATTTTCGAAAATTTTGAGACTTTTTAAATGCCAAAAGGTCTTCGCGTCAGACTTCAGAGCTCGACTAATTTCCAATGGCAGTGTCCGATAGTTTTGACGAAGTTGACCGATAATCTTACTGAAACTTGCTGTCGATTGATTGATTGATGAACAATCAATCACTCGCTGTTGAGATTTATTTCGTAGTAAATCTTGTGAATATATTGGGTGGCCCAGACATTTTCGGACCGATTTTCTTATAGCGTTATTTTTTTTACATTCTGAAATGTCGAACTTGTTCTCGCATGCTATCTCAATTCAGTTAATTTTTAAAATTGTTAGAAACTCTCAATTCAGTTAATTTTGAAAATTATTAGAAACCCTTCCGTAATATTTCATCTGTTGCCCCTTGATAGAATCCGCCTTTAGAAACTCTTGAAAACAGTTTTGCAAACGGCAATGCTTAAATAAAAAAACTATTGAACCGGAAGTTGACTTGGGTCTCAAAGAAATGTGTACTTTGAGTACATTCTAGTGCATTTCGTGTTCCGTAAATGGTGTTGACCATAGATATTGAATGGCATAAATTCAAAAGCAGTTGAAACGGTAAAAAATTCTTCGACTCAAATCCCGACAGAAAAAGTTCAAATTCAATTTTCTCGAGATGCTCCGAGTTCGACGGGGTTACAATTTTTTCTCGCATCCTGGTTTGAGTAGTCCTGTTGGCATGACGACGTGTAAGGAAATGCAAATTCTTTTGAGGTCAGCGTCGTGGGCAGTCGCCGTTGCAATTATTTTGGAAGTCTGGTGACAGCGACGCCCACTGGTCGACATCGACTTTATGTTGGTGCGACGAGGACGTGTGCTGTGCAGCGGAACACTTGACGATCCTCGGATTTATATTTCACTTGACACGTTCTACATCGTTGGCGGGGACACGCGTGAGACAGCTGCGAAAGGGAACGGCAAAATTAACTTCACGGGGTATCGGTCTTGGAGACCTTCTAGTCCATGAGAACTCATCTGTGTGATTGCGATGCTTCCCCGCCCTTAAGCGCTTCAAGAACGTTGCAAACCTGAGGTTTGCAACGAAGATCCTTTGAAGTTACTGCGTTCCATGAACTGGGATGCTCTGATTTCGAGAGTGACGTGAAAAGCTGTTTGCGGATGCCTCAATTTCACGCTTCCAGAACAGTCTAATTCGAATGACTTTCCTTGCCAATATGCCGTGATCACAGGCTATAATCGCATTACTAAAGAACAGCGTTTATCTCGAGAACGAAGAAATTTATTCCTTTTCTACCCGTAATTACAGCACATTACTTTAACATCACGCGAGGCATCATTTTACGCAACGATCAGTGCAAAAACCCCTCTTAAACTCGGATTAAAACTCGTACAATTATACCGCGGACCTGTCTCTTACTTGGGTTTTTGAAAAATGTTTTGCGTTGTTCCTGAATGGATACGAAAATCGAAAGCTTTAAAAAAAAGTATTGTAGGTCCATTTTATCATTAATCCACTAATCGTCTTGCCACTGGAAAACTTGCTGTTCTAGCCCCGTGATTGTTGAGATTTTATCTTGTTGATTTTCAAAAGCGATCGAACTGTCTTCCTTCAGAAAAGGCTGTCTGTTTTGGCAAAGGAAACAAGTTGTACTGTTTTGAGGAAGCTCGTTGCAACATTCAGACATTTTTTCAGAACCCCCCGGTGCCGACGGAGGTGTCGCTTTCTTTCATAGCATAAATTAATTCATTGTTCGAATGTACGTGGAATATCCATGCAATGCTTCACTCAAACGAGGATTAAGGTTTCAAAGGGCAGATTAGTCCCAGGTTCAAATCGATGTTAATTTGCTAAGGAACTTCAGATTGAGATTTTTTTTTCACGAAAAGCTCATATTTAAAATTTTTGGCGTCCTCAAATCTCCCACTTTTTGAATGGAGGCCACTCTGAATTGTAGCCCCGATAAGCCTTCCCAATTGTGATTCCATCAAAACAATGGTAGTCATATGTATCGTTTTATTTGTGGAACCTGATCTTGTGCTACGTATTTGTAGAATCTTTTAGATTCGATCTTGGGTATTTACTGTAATGCGCTTTGCGATGGGAGGGGGATATTTAGCAGCACTCACTTCTTGATGGAATAAGTTGATTTTCTCGCTGGTTATTGTTTTTTCTGCTTGCGGTCTGTGGAATGAGCTTCCAGTCAAAGATTGATGTTCTTCCGTTATTGCAGAAATGCCCGGGATCATGGCATTGCGCCGTCGAGCGGCGGAAGACAAACCGCTGAAAGGAGCGAAGATCGTCGGTTGCACTCACATAAATGCACAGACGGCTGTAAGTCACGATATTTCGATCCAGTTATCCTGCGAGTTCTTTTTCTTAGAATGTTCAGTTTTCCGATCAGTTGCACCGTATCTTGGATTTGTTACCCGAGATGCCGTATTCCGTTCGGCCAAACGATTTTGACAGAGCACGTCTCGTGCCTGACGTGGATTTCTTCCGAGCGGTCGAGTAAATTAACCGGATTACGCTGGTGACAGATGATTTTGTCGCGCTCGTTAAGCGCTAGTTTAAAATTACGTGATCGAGCTGTATTCCAAGAATGCTTCCATTTTAATTTCATGCTTTCGAAAAAAAAATTATGGTGTCCGCGTAGGACACATTTTTGATCGGGCAACTGTCCTTCGGTCACACTTCTGCACATTTTATGTAATGCTCAAGAAGACGTATGGTCGTCTCTAGGGTTGTGATCTAGCGTCGCGTAGTGATGTGGTGGCCGGTATTCCCCATGTTCGGAGATGTTCGTGACGATAGGAAGCCAGATGAGGTTTTTTTTTTTTCACCCTGGATCGATCACGGGGGGCCATTATTGCTGCCCTGACTTCCGTGCTCGCCTCATTTCCGTGCTTCGTTTCTCAGTATATTCAGGAGGTCCCTCTGCAAGCCTTCGTTCTTTTCTTTGTCTGAAATGTATCTACCTTTCCCCAGGTGCTGATCGAGACGCTTACTGAGCTTGGAGCCAGTGTCAGGTGGGCGGCCTGCAACATATTCTCCACCCAGGTTTGTCTTACTCGCAATGTGCACACTTTTTCGAATCCAAGTCTTATCATAATTCCATATATTTCGTTTTATTTCTAGAATGAGGTTGCTGCAGCTCTCGCCGATGCTGGTAATGCTAACAAAAAATATGAATGGGAAGGTTGACTTGATTGTTTACCCTTTTCTGATTTTATGTTGCAGGGCTTTCCATCTTTGCTTGGAGGGGTGAGAGCGAAGAAGACTTCTGGTGGTGCATTGACAAATGTGTCAACGCGGAGAACTGGCAGCCGAATATCATCTTGGACGACGGGGGTGACGCGACGCACTTGATGCTCAAGAAGTATCCGGCGATGTTCAAGATGATCAAAGGTTTCTCTTCGAAACTTTCTGCGACAAATGACCCTTCATAATAATGTTTTATTCGTGTCCTTCACAAAAGGTATTGTCGAAGAAAGCGTGACTGGCGTTCATCGTTTGTATCAGTTGTCGAAGGCTGGAAAACTGACTGTTCCGGCGATGAATGTCAACGACTCGGTGACGAAGACTAAGTTCGACAACTTGTACTCGTGCCGTGAATCCATCATAGACAGGTGATGTCCAAATTTTCTGCAAAATCTTGTGATGATTGTTGGGTAATTTTTTTTTTCTCGCCTCTTCAGCTTGAAGCGTGAGACGGATGTCATGTTCGGTGGGAAGAAGGTCGTTGTTTGCGGCTATGGAGAGGTTGGAAAAGGCTGTTGCCAGGCACTGAAAGGTTTGGGTGCCATCGTTTACGTTACCGAGATTGACCCTATCTGCGCGCTGCAGGCCTGGTGAGTTACTCTGATGTACAGGTGTAAGATTTTATTTACAATAAAAAACTTTCAGTTGATTTTATACAGTACGCTGAAAAATATTTGTGGTTGATTCCGTCTTGTCTGCCAAATTGATGAAGCTTCGAAGCTCACAGTCGTATGAGAATTACTTTCCCTGTTAGTGGCGTGACAAGCAATATTTTTCGGAATATTAATTCGTACGATGATGAGCAATTCTTTTCTTCGAAATATTTGTTTGTACGATGATGATGAATTTTGTTCTTCACCTCATATGAACGACTTTTCAAAAAATCAATGGTGTCTAATTCGAACTGTTGAAATTCGTTCATTTATCGAAATAAAATTTCCGTTGCTCATCGTTCAGCCCGAAGAATGTTTCCTTTATTATTATTTTTTTTCCATTGCGTACAAACGCGTGTTTATAAGAACTTGTCTTTTTGCTTTGTATTAATCCTTATAATTTGATGAATCTAGCATGGATGGCATCAGCGTCGTCAAATTGAACGAAGTTATTCGTCAAGCAGATGTTGTCATTACTGCAACTGGCAACAGGAACGTTGTATCGCGTGAAATGATGGATAAAATGAAAAACGGATGCATCGTGTGCAACATGGGTCATTCCAACACCGAAATTGACGTGGTAAGTACTGTACTCGCGACATGGGTTTCTCTAATCACTCTGCGAATGACTCCAATGCAATTCTTTTGTTGCATCTACGGAATTCCTCAACCTTCCTGTGGTTTGTTTCATGGGCGAGACTTCTTAACATTTTTGTCTCAATTCCAGGGCGGGTTACGCACGAATGACTTGACCTGGGAGAGGGTTCGCACTCAAGTTGACCACGTCATTTGGCCTGACGGAAAGCGTATCGTGCTTTTGGCCGAGGGACGCTTGGTGAACATGTCTTGCTCTTCCATGCCGTCGTTTGTGGTCTCGATCACTGCAGCTACTCAGGTAGAGTCACTTCTATGAATTGAAATCAATAGAAATGGACGGTGGTCAGGTATATGCGCGTACCTGATGCCTTAAAATCATTCGTCTGACAGTATGAATTTGAAAACGATCATCCCCGTGTGTCTTTTGACTTTTGAAATGCATCTTCTTGCAGGCGCTTGCGTTGATTGAGCTCTTTAATGCCCCTCCTGGCCGTTACAAGTCGGACGTTTATTTGCTTCCAAAAAAGATGGGTAAGGCAGGATTTTTTGAAGAGATATCTTGTCTTATTTGCTGAGCCATTCAAATTTGTTGCAGATGAGTACGTGGCAAGCTTGCATCTTCCGTCGTTCGACGCACACTTGACAGAATTAACTGATGAACAAGCGAAATATATGGGGCTAAACAAGGCAGGTCCGTTCAAGCCGAACTACTACCGGTGAGTCGTGTTGAATAATTCTGGTATGCTTTTGCTGAATGACTTGAAAGCTGATTTAATTTCGGACAGGTATTGACACGCCTGCTGTGACCTTGGGCGCGTGAATGTGAACTACGTGTGAACCTGTCGTTTCTTCAAGATTGCTTTCCCGATTTTTCCTGACCTCAGTTTATTTTTGCGACCTCCGGTTGTCCGAAAAACCTGGCTGGTAGAATTCCAAGTTTAGAGTGAATGTTTTTTTCTTTTGTTTATTGATTGGCTCTTCTGCTGCAGCGTAAATACACGAAGAGCATTGCTGCTATTCTACGGAGTGTTTAGGAGCTGTAGTTAGAGAGTCTATTAGCTTTTATGTCTTCCTTCATCGGAGGATGAACCGAGTCATTTACAGAATCGTCCCAACAAATACCTGTATGTACCTTGACGCATGTAGCTTTGATTGATTGTGTTTTCCTGTTAGATTCTTTTGCCCACATACAGCTTTCGCACTCGGCGAAATCTTGACTGTTCAGTATTGTTTGAAAGACTTCGAATCGATCCAAAGCTCATCGGGGTATGAAGATTATTCCAACTTGAGACTCTGTTCGCCGAGTTTTCGTGGATTATGTTGTTTCTGCCGAATATGGCTCAATTCCAGGTGTGTCTGTGACTGTGATGTGGTGGATTTACTGACTTCGGCTCATCGGTGCTGGACGCATGAAGCCTCGATGTTGTGTCATATAGCTGCTAACTCACGCATCGTGGTCATGTAATATTCGCAGACTTCTTGAATGTCCTGGGTTACATCTGTTTTATTTTTGGAAGGAGTTTGTGCAATTCTGTTAGTCTGCAGTTGGTTCGTGCCATTACGCACGTGGCATCGCTCGATACCTGTGCAGTATGTAATATGCTTTATAAATTGGGAGAAGCTAGGGGGATTCTTGGAAAAACCATTCTACAGATCTTTCCGTCTTATTTTGGGTGTGGAGCACACCGCTGGCCGATGTTCGCGATGTCCTCAGTTCGTTCATCGGTAGACTATAGGAGTCCTTATCGGACTTCTGGTCTCGTGCATTTTCTCGTCTCGCTGTGAAATGCTTTTCGTGAAAAAATTCAGCGAAATCGCTTAACTTCGGATTCCAAGGAATGGTCTGTTTGATTTTGTGGTCGTGACATTGGTCATGCACAGACGTTGAAGAGAACAACTATGCATTGATGTGCGTTTGCATTTACCGGTTGTGCGTGGACTGCGGTGAGTTGTGGTTCCGGTCGTCATCAACTGATGTCATCGCGGAAAGCTCAGAAATTTAGTTGGAACATTGTGCACATTGCGCTCAGGAGTGATGTTCCATGCCCACTTAGACCATGCGAAGTGTTGATGAAGCACAAATATAATATAGTTTGTGTAGCCGAAATCATTCACGCTTTTCTGTAGAACTGTAGTGCTCCGTCGTGATTTTTTCCTATCACCCGTTCGAAGCTCCTCTTTAGTCTCAAGTACATCATGCATGCCGCAGAGTTTCGCATACGAGTTGACCTGATCTCCTCAACGCTACCCTTGGACACGAACGGCACTTTTTGAATTCGCACGAGCGACTTGTGAAAACCCGGGAATCCACGCATTCTGCTACTCTGTGTCACCATCACCTATGCTGTATGATCATTGTGATGAACGGATCGTTAGTACTCTGGTGAAATAAGATCAGCTGGGATCCACGTTGATTTTCAGATGTTTTGCTTTCGCTTTTCTTTACCTTCTTGTTAGTGTGCGAATGTTTTTTCAAAATCTTCACTATTTCTGCAGCGTGAGGCGCACTTGGGACGACCATTCGGGTAATGATTGTGCCGCCTGAAACCTTCTGGAGCTGATCGGAGGACGTGGTACACAACTTAACACTTGATCGTTTGTTGGGTAGTCCGATGGGAACATGATGGGTCGCGCTATTGCGCAATTGAATCGAAGTTTTCCTTGAAGAACTTGGAACTTCTTCGGAAGCTTCCCATTTGTTGCTTGCGGGTTTAGTGGCGCGTTGCATATTGCAGTGACATTGATCTGTTCTACGGTCTTCTTGGCCTCGTCTGGTACGATCTTTGTACGTAGATGCTTCTTTGATTGTTGAACTAACCAAAAATATCGCCATCATCTATCAAAGGAAAGGAACTGCACATCAAAATGGAGGGTGCCAGGATAGGAAACTTTGTCAATAAAATGTATTTTTTTATCTATCCCCGAGTTTTAAATCTTTTCCTAGGGGTAAAAGGTTTATAGAACCAGTATTCCTCAACCTTGTTGACAAGCGAATGTACGATAATGTTTTATGGCACATCTGATAATTGTAGGACAGCAAGAAACTACCTATAATTGCATAATAGACGGTATTAATTGCCATTTATTGAACGAGTCCACGCAGTACTGTACAGCGTTTAAATGAAGATCTCGTGTTAGTTGTGTCCGCGCAAGAGATGTGCCGAATCATTACTGCCCAGCTCCGGTGTGATCAAGGGCCACATCAACACTTTTTTCATGTCCAAGGGCCATATCGCAGAGGTGGAGAGTCATTGTGGGCCTATATGGAAATTTATAGTTTAAAACAAAGAAAATCTCGTCACCAAAAAATGCTCGTAAAAAATCTCATGAAAAGAGCTTAGATGCAGTAGAAGTTTAGCCGTGTAAACATGTCCTTAACTTCATGGGTTTTATTTATTAAGCATATGAGGACTGAGTACATTTTTTTGTAATTTGCACATCCTCCGCGATTTTTTGCTGAAAATCACAGAAATTCATTTTATTTTTTAAAGATTTGTGGAAAATTTCTTTATGGCAAATTTATTTCCAAGAGGCTGATCCAAATTTTTCCATTAAAAATGACCAGGCTCAAGTTTAAACAGTTAATCACAAACATAGCTTCATAAAATTTTTGCAGGCAGGAGCAAGATTTTGAAGGTTATAAATTCATGTTTCTTATGTTCTCTGAATACGGAGCAGTACAATAGTTGCTGCTGCTGATGCCACCTTGGAAATCATGAGGTAGGGTCGTAGGGACCGAGGGACTCGAGAGTCTCTGTGGGCCAGATCCGGCCCGCGGGGCGTATATTTGGCAGCACTAGGTTGAATTCATTTATTGGCCATCTTCCAGGTTACTGAGTGAATGTGGGATCCTTTGTACAAGCATTATGCCCCGGAGATGTATATTTTTTCGGTGATTCGCCATTTTGGTCAGTTAGAATTATTTGGCGTAGCCTTTCAGTCGATCACATGTACAAGTTTGAGGCCATTACCGCAGGGTTTGCAGAATTTTTCGCAAAAATTTGAGAATGATGTTTTTCACTCGAGTTTCCACATGAACTCACAATTAATTTAGAATTTTAAAAATGATGGTACTGGGTTGAGGATTCATTGAAAATGAAGCATTGATATTTAAATGTGATGTAAACTGTATCCTCTACTCAAGTTTAAAGCAGAGTCGGGGAATAATCAGGGGTTGTTTGCACAGATAATGAATGAACACTGCCCAACCTTGAAAATACTGCACAATATTTAGGATTTATAATTCACTAAATTTTGGGTAGGAATATAGCAGCTACAGTATTTTCAATTGAATAAAAATACACAGGTTGAAAGATTTCCTACCCGAGTGTCCCAAGAATTTTTCTTGGAAGAAACGGGCGCGCCCTGCTGATAGCAGCGCTTGATTGTCCAACTTGCTTCGTTCGGTTCGCTCGAATCCACATAGCGAGAGGCTTCAGTAATAATTTGCACATAACGAATACAGAAAAAATTTATTTCGTCCAGCACAAGAATTCGGATGATGTGCGAGGTTCAAATTCATGATTTCACGTTCCTGGGATTTTCCAACGCAATAAATTATTAAGGATATGGTGGTTCTGCCGAACGCGGCGCCACGTGTCAACCGCGTCGGACTGACCTTCCCGCAAGCGTTTCCATAGTCAACAAATTCAAACAAACGACGCACGAACGCCGAATGGCGCCTTGATTTCCGTCCCCCGGGTGACACGGAAGGAACAAATACATATGTACAGTATACCGGCGCCCTAAAATCCTCGTTACGCTAAGTACATGAAGATTACTTGAGGCCGACAACATTCTTCCGAGCTTTGAAAATGTACGGTACATCGCCGGAGATTCCTGGGCATGAAAATTTAATTAAAAGCAGCTCACGAACTGTTTACGTCTTCGCGAGTGGGCACGTGACAGGTGCAAGAAATCATGGGGTGTCTAGTGACCACCGGGTAGCTTCGGAATCGACAAGTACGTACTCACAAGCACAACGAGGGCCTCTAAAATAATTATTCCTGACAAAATAATGCTGGATAATTTTCCGCTTCCCACTAATTCCCGAAAACGAGTCTTCACAGGAAACGACGACCTAATGAAGGCTTCCGGAATCATTACACCGAGGCGTCACCCAATCCGCAGGAAACAGGGCTCAGAAAAGTGCAACAAGGATTCCTCTCAATGCTAGAAAGTTCCACAAAGTTCCATCGCGATATTCCGGATATTAACTAGAAATCATGCGTATCTAGAAATCGATTTCGTAGCTCATTAAAAACATCCACGACAATCGCCGATTAAAGTTTTCGAAAACATCGCATGGGGAAAAGAAGCCGATTTTCAAAAAATGAGTGGCTTTTCGCGGAAATCGCTTCTTCCTGGAGAAATCAATGCAGCCGGCTGAAATTTTCTCTCCGATCTCAAGATCGAAAACTACAAGAACTTTGACAAAAGGGGTCTCCTCGGGACAACTTTCCGCCAGCCTCACGAAACATTTCATCACCGATTAATACAAGATCAAAACACGAGGTTGGATTTCACGAAACTGGCCTACTCGATTTCATAACAATCCCTCGCGACGCCGAAACGGGGTGCAGCGCAGACTTCCGATCAATTAGATTAAGCAATTAGTTAATGAGCCGACAAAAGGAATCGCAGAACACTACCAGATTACGAGTGGAATGCTGTGGTACCGAACGAGCTGGCTGCGGGAACCAGAACCATTGAAACTCCGTCGCGTTAATCCGAGCAACCGATCGGGTTTCCTCGTCAGCCATCGTGTCGGGCTTGCGCGACTCGAACCCAGTCGACAATGACTCGCGGCCGACCTCATCCTGTCTCATTAAAGGAAACCCAGCGTCAAGACATTGTGCAATGCGTCCAGGTCCTTGTGGCTGCTGATTCTCCAAAACGGGAAGTTCAACTGAAATGTCAAAGGTCACCATTCAGTACAGTGGAACTTCGATTAGCCGCCTTATTATTCGACTACAATATTCAAAACAAAATTTAGTTGATCGAAGGGAACGACAAAGCAACTCGAATGCAGTAATAAATGTAATGCAAAAGAACCCCCACTAAGAACCTGGCTTGCAAATACTGTACTGTACAGTATCTGCGTTCGAATTCCGATTCAACAAAAGGAAACCAGGGGCTTCATACTATTTTTACTTGAGTCGCTTTTTTTCTCCGGTTCAAATAATATCGTGGCTAATGCACTCCGAAATTTGCGGGGTTTATTGCATTATTATGTGAAATTATTTTGATTCTCCAAACCGGTTGAATTTCTGTTCTGACACCATACGATTCCCGTGTAATCCCATTATCTGGACTAATAATACGCGTCACTGTGAATGAGCTTATTTTATTTTAATAAAATCCGCTCAATTCCCTTGGATAGGGCTTCAGTTCATTCGGAAATCCATGCAAACTTGAAAGCAGCATGAATGATTCAAGAAAGCTTACAAATTGCATTTCAAGTAAAAATCTTCGACAATAAGATAAATTAGTCACTACACATCAAGGAAATGATGGGTTCCACCTCGTGATTTGCAGCAATAATGTTAACAATGTTTCAGATTATTGAGTCACTGTTGACATTTTTTCTTTCTTCCTTGAATAATCATCCTGGATTTTTGTTTATTTTTTGTATTCAAAAAATAAATAAAAAACATTAGTTTTTTCTTCTTTGCATTTGTGGTTTTGACCCACTTATTATGCTTTTTACAACCAACACTTCCGTACCACCTCCCAAATTTGTTTGACAGACTTTGACTTGCGTCTTACGCGAATTTATTTTGCTCATTTCGTATACAGTAATTTGATGTGGGTTTTCTCGGAGATTTTCGTGTTTTAAATCGCACGAACCGGGGAAAGGAAGGATTCGAATGTATGCAGATGATGAAAAAGTATTCATGCATTTTACAAACCAGTCTGCTGTTGATATTGAGACTCATGGTGATTCGAGAAGCCGACTTTTAAAAAGAGGTTCTCGTCGATTGAAAAACTATTTCTGCACTAGATTATATTCTGCAATGGTTCCTCAAGTTTCCAAGATATCCAAGTCCGCTGCAAGAATTATTTCTGCTTTCAATTGTCTTACCTTTTTAGCTGCTGCTTCTTCGTCGTTGCCGTCGCCTATCACAACAAAGGTGCACTTGCGGCCAAATCTCGCCATCACTCGCTCAAAGCAACTGTCTTTCCCTGTGAAATAAACACCAGTCAATCCGTTGTCCCATCAATAAATTATTAGAAAGAAGTCAAATGAAAAGTGGGTCACGTACCGACTTTCGTCGCGCTGTAAATATTTTCCAGGGGAAACACGCCGCCGAGTCCGTAGAGCAGCACTTTTGAAACTGCTGGGACCAGCTGAGTTGTCGTGACCAGCACGTTCGCACAGTTGGGCCTTTTGAAAGATCCAGTAAGTTTATTAAATCCGTTTTTTTCTTGAAATCTAGGAAATAATTACCTGGAACTGATCATCGACAAGCACTTCAATGCTTTTGATAGCCAGCTGTCTGTGTGCGATTCCAGCTCTGCTCGCAACTGCAGCCATTGGTCCCGTTTTTGAGGGCCAAGAAGACCTGGAACGTTAAATTAAGGCTGAATCACGAGCCTAAATCATCTTTGCAATATTATAACACGAAAATGCTATCGAATAATGTTCCTCAAACGTATATACAGTACTTATGCGCACCAGTAAAGTCCAATTAAGGTTTTCACGGACCGGTTAATGCTTCTTCTCAAGTTAGGAACAATTGATTTTAGGCACGATTTATACTTCCCCGTTCAATATAATGTACTACAATACACGTCACAGTAACATTTTCCACGAGGTTTCGCCGAAGGTTTCGATGCAAAAAGGTATCCAAGCCGACGAACATAAATGCTTGCAAAAACACATTTGTTGTGAATAAATACAGAGATGCGCAAACCGGCTCATGACCAAAATTCGAAGGCTTCCTCACAATTGCAGTTTCGTGGAGGGCTGGCACAAAATTACTAAAAACCATTTATTTGACTTGAATCCGTAGGACGCTCATAGTAATTGTTCACGAAACCTTGCTATTCGAACAAATTTATGACTTGGAATAATAGCAGATGAAACGTTTACAGCGAACATTCGAAGTATGGAGTTTGATTTGGGAGGTTCGCGAAGCTTCTTGCGGTTCTTATACTGTACTTTACGCATGTGTATGCAGGAATGAATTTGGATTGCAGTATTTACCTCCAACATTGTTCCTGAAAGCGGAATAAGCCTCTTTGATTTTCCGATACCGAAAGGCGAGTTTCCGATTCCAGTCGACGCCTCCTCGGACACCTGTTGCCAAGCACTGATTGCCTGATCGGAAACCGTCAGACGAGAAATCGTAGTTTCTGCAAAAATAAATAAATAGATAATTGAATTGCTTCATGCAAACGTGAGAACAGAAGAAGTGGAATTCGCTCAGTTGTCATGTATTAAAATCGCAGGAAACGATAAGGCGATGTCTTACGTCAGATCTTGCCCATTGTCATCTGACGACACGTCTTCGATATGCACTTGATCACAATTCTCAAGGTCGTTGAAGAACAAATGAGCGTCAGCCAGGTCGAAGATCATGCTCTCCATTCGAATCCCGAAGCTCAGCGACGTCTTGGGGTCCTGCAAAAATTACCAATAAATCGGAGTTTTCATTTGATTCCCGTGCATTTAATCCACCATGCACAGATTTTCGGCTAATGAGAGTACACTCCCAGACATAAATTTTTGATTTGAAAAAGGTGATAGTGGTACTTGGGTGAATGCAGTAAGTTATTTAGATCTGAGTTCATTCTGTAGGTGGAATGCAGGTGTTGAGGTTCTCAGGAGGTTGTATTGCATATTGTTCCCCAACCTTCATGGGCCCGCGGACCAGAAAATTATCATAAAATTTTTCACGGACCAGCAAATTTCGATTAAAAAATTCCTCAGACTAGGAAAGTTTCATAAAAAATTTTAAGATTCAAAATGTTTTGTTTGAAAAATGTTATGGCAGGTATTTACAAAGTTTCTGGTTTTTTTTATTCAGTGAAAAACCACAGCTATAGAAAAATTAGAAAGGCGGGCTTAAAGAAAGGTTTCTCACGATGAAAATTAATGTAATTCATTTCAGCAGGTGAAAATTTGCCTGATGTGTTTTTAGGAGAGAAGCCAACTTTTATTTTTTCTCAGATAATTTCAACTGTCATTGTCTTTCTGGAATGTCAGATAAAGATAACAGACTTCATTGAAAATTTATCATGCAGAAGAAAATTTCCTGCGGACCGGCAAACAACTTCTGCGGACTGGCGCTGGTCCGCGGGTTGGGGAATACAGTACTTGTATAGTCAACCACCGTCACCTGCTGTGCACGGAAAAACTCAATAACAAAAAAGGTTCCAAAGCCAAGTTATAAATTGTGGACGATAGAAACAGTCGTTTTCAAAGTGAATACGCGGCATTTGTTGTGAAAATGTTCCTGAAATTTCAGCACGGATGCGCGGCATGATTGCATTTCGTTTCGAAATAGCTGAACGTCGATTTTCGAAGAGATTTCCCATTTGCGTCAAGTTCTGTCTCCTCCGGAACCAGCAGTCCGAATCGGGATCAAAAGCGTTGTCGACAGCGAAGTCACGCAGCGCGGAAATCAAGGCGCGGTCGTGGCCGGAGCCCCTCGACATTTCCCCCCCTCAATCTTTCACCTTTCATCAAACTTATCAACAGTAATGATAGTCAGCCAACCGTCAGCAAGCAGAGGGGAGACAAACACCGCGGGGAAGTCGACACCAGCGAGCTAGGGGGTCCCGCTGTTCACACGCCAAGCTGAACAAAACCACGGAAATGGAAACGGTGATGGATCTTGACAGTTCCTTCTTCACGCGAAACTTTTTTTTTTCCTTCCCGTTTTCGCGTCGAGCACGAAATTAGCGCAATGCTTCCTTCTTCATTCTGCTCGAATTTACAGCGCTAGCGAAAACAAATGCCGCTCGACCTCGCGTTTTTGTCCCCGAGAGCGGCTGCTCGCAAATCGTCAACAAAGTTTTTTTTTTCCTGTGCGCAAAATTGTTTCCATCTGAGAATTTCGACGGAAAATTACCAGGTAGCCAAACTAAAATCTAGCACACATGAACTCACACTTTCGTATTTTTACAAAAGTTACAGGCGCCAATGACGATCTTCCAAACGTTGGCCCAACTAATTTCTCTCCTACCCAAAAACATGCTCCCTAAACATTTTTTTCAGGTTTTTATACTCCTGCTATTGAACAGTACGTTAGTCAAGATTTAGTTGCCGTGATCTCTTGAAGACGACTAGACGAGAACTGATTTCGTCAACATTGTTGATGAAAAATCAGTTTGGGTCTCACATGCGATAGCGTCGCATTTGTTGGTGTCACCCAATCAATGACGACTTGTATATGAACGTGAAGTGCTTTCAAACAATAAATCAAACCTGGGAATCAACAATGAGGTCTGAAATGCAATAAAACAAAGCCCAAGTACAACATTTTTCACTCAAGGAAAAAAATTAAATAAAACGAACGAAAACCGTTAAAATGTATGGTGCCATACATTCGAGATAATAAATGCCTAAAAGAGATGATGGACCTTGCGAGGGAATTTCGCGATAGTTCGGACCCTTCCAAGGTCGAAGGCATGTGGATGTATTTCACGCATATGTAAATTATAAATGCTGCTTATCGCTGAAATGGGATCTGCCTGCAGAAATCGAGGCAAGCAACCAGCTGAAACAACTACAGAAAATAATGATGAATATCAAAAATAAAAAGGGAAACGCTGCGCGAAAAAAAAACGAGCGCAAGTGCGAAAAGGGGGCTATACTTCAAGGTTACTTGTTTTTGTTTATTTAAGAAAAAAATACGCAGCGCAGAGGGGAAACTGATCGCTCGTTTAAATGCGGATTCCGGGCTGAAATTTGCACCTCAATTTTCCAGCAGATCAGAGAAAATAAAAAAAGGCGGGAAAATTCTAGACCCATCCTACTTTGTTTTAAAATGGTCATGCACTTCGTTCTCCGGAGGTGTGCCAATTTTTCCGTGACGATGCAGCAGATCCTCAAGCACAAACCAATAAATCCAATTATGAAGCTACATTTAATTTTTAAGTCTCGGAATTAAGTCTTGCAAACGATCACGTTACATGATTAATCTACTTTATTTTCATTTGGTAACGATATTCGCAGATGCTTGAAATCTGCACCTTAAATCTACAGATTGTCATATTTATTTTATATCTTGTTTTTAAAATTATCGCTTGTGACACAATGTTGGCCAATGAGCTTATCAGAGGCAAAAGCATGCGAATCTAGGATGCCAATAATTCCAATTCTCAGATGCGAGATGGCATGCACTACACGGCTCCTCTCTATTTTATTTTTATTCTTTGCCATTGTACGGAGGAGCATTCTGCCCGTGAATACGGAGTTTCATTGAGTTCAATCTCCTAAGAATCAGAGGTTTAAATTTATATTTTACTCATGCATCAGTTAGAACGTAATCTCCACCATCAAACACCCCTTTGAGGCTCTAAATTGGTTCAGAATTAATTCAGGATTCCAAATATGATGCCATTGTCCAGCGAATGGCAGTCATGGTATGTTCATTTTGATTTAGGCTTCATTTAACTTCGATATACCGCATATATTTTGCTGGTGAAAACAATAGAGGTCTTTAAAGCTTCAAAGTCAAGACTTGATCGAATGTTACGCGCCATTGATTTTAAAGCGCATCCCGAGCATTCAAACCAATTTTCCTCCTATTCGTTTGTACAGTATATGGTGATTTCTTCCCGGGCCCCATTCCGAAAACGTGCTCCGTATATTCACGCGAAGACTATAGGTCCGGATTCCAGAATGCTGGGCAATGTGAATCGAGGCATACGGTTGCTTGCTCAGCCGGGTGGTGTACGAACGAAAGCTTGGCACGTTGAGGGTGGGTCGGGGAGGGGGGTTTGGTGGTACAGTATGTGTTCTTGGATCGAAATTAGGCGATGAGGGGAAGAGGAAAAAGCGCTGCGTCATATCACAGCCATGAGTGCTTCCCGAGTGCATCTCTCAGTGGAAACCCGACTCCTTTCACTATCCCTGCTCCCGCGTCGTCCAATATCAGCCATAGCCAATGCATCCTTGCCAATACCCTCGGTCCCGATTCCCGAAGCAAACGTGACGGGAAAAAACAGAATAAAAATAGAAGAAAGAACCCGGGTCCCTTCCGCGTAGGTCGCGAGCAGAATGCATCCCGGCGCCTTCCGCTTATTGTACTGCAATAAAGTGCTTGGGATTTCTTGGTGACTTCTCCTCTATGAAAACGATTCCTCCGTTCAGCAGTAAACTTTTATAAGTTCACGCTCAACGACTGTCCAGTTGAACATGTCTTTTTCTTCTTCCTAAAATGATTTGAAAACGTCTGCCCCAGTGAATTTAATAGTAAAATGTCACTTTTCAAACAAATGTTGCACGTTAATCCAACGGAGGATGTTGTGCTCGAAAGTCCACTTTCGTTAGTACCACTGGGGGTTCTTAATTTCCATGTCCCCTTCACGTTGCAAATTGACGAGACAGACGAAGGTGGATCGAAATTTTCAAGTATTTCTGTAAATCAATCATTTCTTTTTAAATTTGCGAACATTCAGGTTAAAATCAAGAGGGCACAGAGTTGAAAGTACTGTACTGTACATCCCAGAAACAAAGGTTCATCCGTCACCATCGCCTCTTTCGTTAATTATTTGTTGAGAAAAATTCAAAATGGCCCAAGTTATTGCATACCGGTTTTCAAACAACACAACACTTGAGCAGTACGAAAGACGAAAAATTGAGTTAGTCTGAAAATTAAATGCAATCGCTCTTCCATCGCTTTTATTGAATTATTATTTTTTGTATCAAATCAATGTAGCTATGGCTACTGAAAAAGCTTACGCTTCGGAAATGTTTCCCAAGTAATAGTTGAGTGTTACATGCTTCTATGCAATTTTCTTCCACCACAGGCTCTCTTCTTGAAATAAATCCAGTCATTATTCCATGACCTCAAATGCACTAAAAATTAGAAAATCTGCAGAAATTGTAGCTCGTACATAAAATAAAATTAATGCATTTCCTCAATCTATGCATAAAAGCTTTCTGAATCATACGGTGATCCCGCAGAACTCCAAAGGAAATGTTACGACTTCCACAGTGGATCACCTGCATGAGGGTTACTCACGCATAATAAAAATCAGCATGAAGTATGTATTGTACTGATTTCTTGTCACTTTTGCAATAGGCTCCATCGAACCAGCATAAATCAGAATTTTGACTTCTCATCTTAAAACGAAAGATAATATGCGGCAGAACTCGGGTTATACGTCTGGTCAACCGGGCTCGAGTTCACAGGAAACAAAGTAACTGATAATGAGCAATTTTTTAAAGGTATAACCGCGTCATTTCTCTGAAGATTAACTAATTAGCGGGCCTCGTGCGAGTCGAAATTTCCAGGAATCCATGTACTGTACAATACAGTACAGGTAATAGTTTTGTAATACATGATAGATCAGAACTCAGGAGTCAGGCCAAGCTTACTTTTTTGCATCAGTAGATTGAAAGCATTTCATAAGGTCAAATTATCCGTGATATAATATCACAAGAGGATTCTCTCTACAACGCGATCTTGTCTATAACAATTTTCTCTGTATAACGAATTTGTTTCTGGTCCCAATAAAAAGGTCCTCTCCCCGTGTTACAGGGGTTCTCTGCAACGGAAATTTCCCTCCGACGAAACTTTTTCTGGTTTTCGAATTTCGTCCTACAGTAAGTTCACCTGTATCCGGAAAAAGACACCCAGTCATTATCCCGGATGATCGCAGTTCAACTATAATCCTCACCACTTCCGAAACCGGCAGGTATGTTTTTCCAAATAACACCACAAGAAAGATTTCGAGATAATAGCCCAGGGGAAGTCGAGATCCCGACACTCGATCCCCGGCGGGACACAAAGAACACCACCGGCGGGCATCCAGAGAGAATGAAATCTTTTCACGCGTCGAAGCTGATTCGACTGCGTGGGAAAAGCCGGTCGGAAGCAGAACAGGTACCAACACAATTAAGATGGAGAACCCACACGACGCCTCTCGGCGTCCTAAGTACCACCGAGAGGAATACAACGAGGGGGAGGGCATAAAGAAATAATGTTTTAAAAATAAAGGTAAAAACGAGATGAAGAAAAAATAATAATCCCCCATTAGCCGATGAAGCGCCGCGGGACTCGGATTCGGTTACGGGGTGCGAAAGGAAAATATTGATGCGAACAGGGATATCCTTACCTTGTGATGACAGGCGGCAAACGTGCCGGTGAGTAAGGAATGGAAAACTATAATTGTCTCGTCCAGGTCCCAGAGGAAGACTCGGTCTACGGTGCTCTCCGTCGCGTCGTCCGGGCTGGATGGGGAAGGAACGATGGCGGACACCTGACGCCGTCCGCGCTTATTACTGCGGCTGGATGCTCCTTTTGATCAAAAGTAAACCCCCAGGGGGAGCGGGGAAAAAGCCGTAATGAAATTTAGGGTCAACGACATTCGATAAGGCGCAAATGAGCCGGGTTTCTCCCGCGCCTCGGGTCAACCGCGGTTAGCGTTACACGCCCGTGTCGGATGCTCACCTCGCTTCGTGCCTGCTCTCGGCTCTGCTTTGACTCCCGAGGCGTCCAGGCCGCCGTAACGCATACTCCTGTCTGAAAGGATCATTCGGGAACATCTCATTTAACGTATTCTCTCGCATTAGTCATCACATATTGACGTGATTATAGAGGGCGAAGTGCCGGGTAATTTTCGATTCTATTTGCCCGAAATACTCGTCTAAAAGTAAGAAATGTAAATGTTTTCGCCTAGAGTTGAATGAAAGTTGCTTTAAATTTTATTTTGAATTGTTCTCTTTTCATACAGTATTCTTAGGCCGTATTACAGTTTGCTACAGTCTTTTGAATAACCTGCTGCGTCCGAAAAAAACCCTGCCAAAGTATATAGGGAGCAGATGTACTATGAATCCTAGAAAGCCACATTAAAGTAGAGAAGAAGGATAACTTCATGCAATTGATAGGTAAACACTTTATTTTTTGGCAATTTACATGATGTTTTTGTAATTTCAAGTACTTGGTTATTTGTGTTAATAACCAACAAATTGAAGAAATAGCGATTTCAATTTTTGCTTACGAAGTCAGTAATTTCAATAATTTAGGTAAATAAAAAAGAAATAATTCCCGAATCAGCTTGGAGCAAGTCATGTGATGATCTTTATGTGACCGAGTGATGATAATTGGTCAAATTTGTTGCATGCATGCGTTACTTTTTCAACCAACAATTTATCTCAAAACGGAGGTACTGTTTATACATATTATATGAAAGGCCGCAACCGATCTTTTTTTCGGGAAATATTATTTCAACTCTTACTTGATATCATACGTTTTGTCTCTATGCTCACAATGATGCAATACAGTACAGTATCAAGAAGAGGGATTCATAATCATTCTATAAGAGATTGTCCAGGACTTTGCTTCTGCATATACCACATTTATTGAATCGAAATCCCTACTAATTGTAAATATTTATTGACCTACAATTGCTGAAAACGGAAGGGGTTTCCTTGTTTCGATTTTTACCTGGCAGCGTCAAAGCAGGAAATTGATAAGTGTTGTTGGTCAATGCCGGTGATGCTGTAGCCATGACAGGGGCACCTGTGTTTGAGGATAATGGTGCCACGTCGTAGTAGCTGGGATGAGAGCTTCCGTAGTATACATATGCACTGGAAGGTTGACCGTACGCGGAAGCATACGCAGTTGGGCCATAGTCCAGTCCCTGGTTTCAAGAAAATGATACCAAGAGCATTAAATACCACTGCCTAGCATTCAACATGAACCGATTAGAAATCAAATACTTTAACTGAGAATATCGGAATGGAAAAAAACGCTAAAAATGGGGGTAGAATCCATCGGTGACCGTCAGATGTGACTTATTGAGAAGTATGGGATCTTAGAACTAAGGTCTTCTTGGCTAACGGTGGAGACCCCCGAGAATTTTTCCTAAAGAAGCCCATAGTGGACATTGATCAAGAAAAGGACTGCAATAGTCCAAAAGGTTGAGAATCTCAACTCTGAACTGCCTTTTTCGCGGATATTTTAAATTGTGAGGGGATCTCAAGTTTTCTAAAAAAAAAATAAAAAAAAACTTGAAGGCTTCTGAGCTCATTCCCCCTCCTCCTGCACCCCCGCTTAATAAAGAATGAAATCTTGAGAAATCCATTACAGCATTCAGAAAACAAAATTCGATTTTATTGTGCTCGCTTAAGGCCCCAAAACATTGAATAATTGTGTACAAACCTGTTGGGAGTACGACGTTTGGGAAGTGCCGCAATGAGCTGCAGACACTGCGGAGTACGGATGAATGGATGCTGCCTGGGCAGCTGAATAGTATCCACTCGTCAGGTTGCTGGTGTGCGACGATGTCATGTTTGCGTCCTGGTGCCCGTTGGATTCGCAATTGTAATTGGTCGGGTAGCACGGGTAGAAGTTACATTCAGCTCCGACCCCAGGCCCCATTTTAGTCCCAAGCCCGCACTGGTTGAGACTCCGACCTGCCGGGCGAACGCATAATTTTTTTTCAGAACATTTTTTTTAGTAATGTATAACAATTAGAAAATTTTGGTTTTTCAAAATTACCGGCAAGCGGACGAGGAAATACGGTGCCGAACGGGCTAGACGCGTTGGACGAGTGCTGGTGCCCGTTGTACAGCCCCGTCACAGGTGACGCGTATGGCGATGCTTGACTAGTGCCGTACGGCTGCATGCTGTCAAATGGGATCAAAACAAGGGCATGAATCCATCAGTGCTCAAGTTAGTCTAGACTCGTCGTTTCACGATCTAGCATGACGCAGCGTGGAAACCGAAAGAAGCATGAACTCGATTTGGACACGACACTCCTCGACACGATGCTCCTCGTTTTTATAGACCACAAACCTATATATTTCAGGGCATGGATCTGAGAATACTTGACCACGGAAGTCGTTCCGAAGGAATGCTATCATGTAAAAATATAGACGTGGAGCTCGGTTGGACAAACATGTGTTCAAAGCCAGGAATAAAAAAGTAACAGTTTTGAACGGCTCGAAACAAAGACTCGTGGCTGGCATTTAAAAAATGAGATGAAATCAGTGACATCCCCAAGAGTAAAGACTATTGCCTATGAAATTGAAAGAAATGGAGCGGGAGAGTGGCATATTTAACAAAGAGTATTTATACAATATCTTTAACTTCTACTAGTTGAGTACTTTTGTAAACGAGTCACACTGAGATTTGCACTGCAAAGTTGGAAATTTTTCCCCTCGCTTTCCCACGCCCCAACCACTTATTCTTTGTCGGAATGACATCCGAATTTATGCCTCTCTTGCACTGCCCAACCTTCCCTTCACCAAATTTGCATGATTGCAGGCCCATAACGTACATTCGAATATTTACGGTGTTGTGGACCAATCAGAGCGAAAAGCGCCCCGTATAAAAGTTTTCAAATTTGCACGTTTCAAAGTTCTGGAACACTGCTGAGGGATTCTCTCTCTCTCGATCTCAACATTTCCACACCACCTATGATCACAAATATGTTCTTATTATCAGAGAGTTTCAATCCTTACAAGGGGTTGTCGATCATTCGTTAAATATGCACGTCTGTGAGCTGTCAACCTTTAAGAATGCTCAAAATCCAACAAAAAGCCAAGAAAATCCGAATCCTCCATCGAGTCATGCAAGCATTGAAATCGTAAGGGATGAGAGTCGAATGAATATTTACCAGCATTCATATCCATATCGAATTCATGGGGAAAATTATGAATGTCTGTTTATCTCGGGACCAAAAACATTTTAACGAACCATTGGAAATTTCTGGAATCACCTTGCATTATACAGTACGAGTGGGTAAAACTAAAAAGCATGCGATGTTTGCCTTGCAGAATAAAAATTATCAAGAGTCGCTCGCAATGGATACGGTGAAAAGAAAGAAAATTCAACGAAATCAGAAAGAATAAATTGAAATAATTTGTGCACTCTGTGGGTAATCGGGAGAGAAACTTGCGGATCTGGCGAACTGTACCTCGCTGAATTGGCTACTGAGAAGCGTGGAAACTGTGCGGTCAGGGCTGGGCACACGCACGTGCACAAATAAAAAAGCGGGCCAATTCTGCCCGAGATTGAGAAAGCGGGATCGAATATGAACGGGTGTTTTCACGCTGAACCAGCCGGTTAATTCTCTGAAAAGGGGTTTACGTATCGGCAAAAAGAAAACTTGCGATTTTTCGGAACCCTAACCGTCGCAATAAGACAATAAGTGAAGTTCGGCCCGTCGTCGCGATTTTTTGTGGGATTTTCTTAAAGATTTTTATGGGAAACGCATAAGAAAGGCATAATTTTTGGATATCCGGTACAAATATCTTCAACAAGGTAGTGGTAGTTTTGGTACCTCAGTCGGACGATGTATTTACTACGTAGCGACCATCAGTCGAAATCGCGAAGCAAAAATATAAGACAAAAATTTCGTTAAATTTTTTTCTGAGAAAAATAGGTACAGTACTTTAATCGGAAATTAAAACTGTCCTCATACAACTTCAATTTTTGTGTTCTCATGGAGTATGAAACGCTAATTATACACAAGCTCAGAAAATTTCGTGAGATGAAAGAAAGATGATATTTAAAAAAAATTCAAACTTCCCACTGTCTTTCGGCAAATCTTCAGGAATACGTAGTGAAGTGGGAAACTCTAGCCATAATCACAACGTTTTCGAGTCTCCTTATGCAGAGTACTCATAAAATCTTGTAAAAATGTCTCTAAAATCTGAAAAAGACCAGAAGTCTTGAACATAATATTGAAATCAATGCATCTTTGACATTTTAATGACCGTAGAAATAAATTTTTCTTCTCAGCTCGAACAGCCTCAATTAGTCAAATGTTTTTCCGACAGAAAATCACCCGAAAACCCGTCATTATCAGGTAAACAAGCAAGGCAACGCGTCGAGGAGCTCTAACACGGAACATTTACCAAAATTTTGTGCACTAGTGGTCAGGTGTGATTCAGTGAAACCTAAAGTCAAATTTTCCATGACTGCACTTACTTTTCGACATAAGAAGGAGGGTCTCTGCGATCGAACCCGAGGCTCTGTTGGGAGCCGTCGGGATCAGAGGAAGCGGCGCTGATTGGCCTCGGCGAGGAGTTGCTTTGCTCGCCGGACGGCACGGACGTCGCCACGGTCAGGTTGCTGGGTTGCACCGCGCTCGCCGGCGACAGTTTCCGCCTGTGGTATCGATGCGGGGACTCGTGCCCAGGATCGACGCCTCCTCCGGCGGGGACGCCACTCGGCGACTGCGAGTCGCCCTGTCGGTGCAGGTCGCCGAGGCAGTCGCCGTCACGTCCGTCGATCGGCCGACCGGATCCGTGCAACGCGTACACCGACGACAGGCCCGAAGGGATCTCCTCGTCTTCGCCTGGATCGCACTTCAGAGGCGCCCCTGAAAATACAATGGTACCCTTTATGATGGAGCAGAGCGAACTACCTGAAAGCCTAAGCTCCTCTGGTAGTAAAAAATGCTCACGAAGCCTACTATATGCTTCACCTTTTACTTATTTACTTTTATTTAAATTTAAGCGCTACGCATTAAATAGTCAATACCCAACATCATTTTCCAAGTGTATTTCATAATTTTGATTGCCTTCTATCCCGTTTTATTTTTCCATTGTAGTAAACAAGTATTTGACTCAGCGTAATGTGTAATACAAGCGAATCATTCAAACGAACGTTTGAATACTGTCTAGTGAATATTTATACTGTACATGTGTAATACAAGCACACTAATTTGCATTCCTAGCAAATGAGGATTTCGCCATCTCGATATACAGTATTCCTGCAGATCTTTCAAAGTGTCAGATTAAAAAAAATATCGAATTTGACGCGTTCATACCAGGAAGAAATTAAATTATTTTGTTTCCGAGTTCTGTAAATGAAAATAGCAAATTGTAATTAATCAAAATTTTTCCACTTCATGCTTTCAAAAATTGCGTTGAAAGATTTGCTGAAGTTTTGACATTCGATCATTGATGAGCTCAGGAAATTTTTAAAAATCTGAATAGAGGCTATGAATAATTTTTTCCCCAATCGGGGAAACTTTTTCTCATGTGTTCAAATCTTGGTGTAGAAATTATCGCTCCACCTGTGAAGCGACTACGACATTTTTTCTGAGTCTACGTATGAGTTTGTAGATTTAAAAAAAGTCAGAAACAATCACTTCAAGGGATTCATCAGTTTGTCGACGGGCCTCTGTGAAACCACTTCTCACAAGTTCGACCTTTCTCGTTCTAAGCACCACATACTGTATATACGGACATTACTGAAGCTAGTTAACCAAGACGTTGAACACTTTTCAGATATATCTCAGCAAATTCTATTCATCGTACGATGAAACACAAATCAAGACCAATATCGCCGCAGGTTTCCAGGCCCACCCGTGACCAACTACTCTCTCAAGTAGCACCGCCCGCGCGAGTGGGATTGTGAAGAAACTTTTGGCAGCCGCGGCGGATCACAGTGGTTCAACCAGAATATTAAATTCCCCATGAGTGTCAGTAAAAACATAAAAATAAAAATAAATAAAAAATAGACCTCACTGGAGAGGTATAACTGCGAAAGCACTCACGGCTGACGAACCAATGACTTTTTGGAGGTGAGGCGATCGAAAAAAAAAAAAAAAAGACTTGAACCACGCTCTCAAGTGAGTCCATCGTTTTGCATGGCACTATTTTGCGACTTAATTTTCAATATACAATATCTTAATGATTTTTTCCGTGTTGTGCAATCAGTATCATTTTCAAGATAAATTAAGACGCGAAGTTATGTCTCTTGGACAATTTAGGTATGATACCGTACAACGAAGTGTCAAACTTCGACTAGAACACAGCTTCTCAACTTGTGCTATAGCTGCCAAGGGTTCCTCGCACACTTCTCGAAGGCACTATAACTGCTCCAAAAATACAGAGAAAAGAAAATGAAATTTAGTAGACAGAGTAAAATGTCCGTAGTTTTAACTGTATCCTTTTAATCCGCTTTTTGTCTCAGGAGCCGGAAATATATTTGCAAATATTTGAGGGAATCCGACATTTAAATCTTTTAAACCCGTCTTTTCCGTGGTAAAAAAAAA